TGAAGCAAGCGGGTCGCTCCATTACGCAGCTCCTAAGCGTCACCCACAAGCGCAACGGCACAATGGGCGCAGGAGTTGGCGCTGAGGCAGCTGCCAGCACCGCTTTGCAGCCGAAACGCCAACGCAGCTGCGGTCCACGCTTCGCCAATCAGCAGCTGGAGGTCACGGATAAGAAGTTCAAGATACTCATCAAGAACTATGCCAATCAGGCGGCCGATAATCTGCTCGAGAAACAGGAGCCCATCAGTGCGCCGGCCACGGCTCCAGTCATGGGCGAGCGCAAGTGGCGCAGTCTGCGCAACATCAACAACAACAATAACAACGGGAACACCTACACTGCCACGAGCTGCTCCCGTTTGAGAGCAGCTCCCAATTTGCTGGACAGCAATTGCTCGCGCCGCTTCGCCCGCACCAAGTCCGAAATTGAGAGCTCAGCCAGCTTGCATGCCATCGGACGCACCTTTGGCCGCCGCTCGTATGGTCCGCGGCTGCCCATTAGCATCTCGGTGCAGGCTCTGCATCGTGGCGAGCCCATCGTGACCGCCATGAAGCAGGCCTCCAGCGAGCAGCTGCAGCTGCAACTCACCCAATCCCAATCGCAATCCCCATCCCCATCCCAAATTCAAACAAACTCCACGCCTCCCATCAGCCCACGCAACGTTACACTGGCCAACAAATTGACGGTGCCAGTGCTGCCCACTTGTTAAACCACCAGCACCACCACCACCATCAACCACCCACTGAGCCAACGTTTATCCAAATATCCGAGGAATTTCAATTTCTATCAACTGCTAAATATTTTGTACATAAAAGTTTGTTTGATGTTTGTATTTTATAAAATTTTCTTAGCTTCCTATCTAAATAATCTAAAAATCACTTTAAAATTGTTATCAAAATATGTTGGAATTAGATTATAAATACTTATATTCGAGCTCGAGGTATTTTTCGTTTCAAATTCCTAAACAAACAAGAAATATTTTTCATATTTAAAAACTACTCAAAAAATATATAAAATAAATACAAATTCCATTAAAAACTATTTAAACAGAAAATACCTGAATAATTATATAAAAGTAACTACATAAAGCTTTAGTTGATTACAGTGAAATTTTATATTTTACTGAAATGTAATGCAGGCTCCTATTACCTATGTACTTAATTAGATGATCTCTTGCCATACCAAAAATATGTACTTCCAAATATGAAAACTCTTCATTAATAAACATAAATATATAAATTCCCCATTCGGATTTACGTTTTCAGTAATGAAGAGGCTAATCGATCTTCCTGTAAAAAAAATTAATAATATAACTTTACGTGGACTATATTTATTGAATATGATTTATATTATGAAAAATTATTTACTCTCTTTTATTATTACTTGTTGAACAAAATTTTGCTTATCAGCTAGAGGTGACTTTTAGCGACCGGGAGAATTGTATTCATAGATATCTCAAAGCAGTTCAATAAATTGTTTTATAAGTTATTGTTTGTATTTGTTATAAGTCGATTGTTAGCAGCTCGAATATTTTCTGGGGGTTGCAGCGAAGTTAATCTTGACTTGGCTATGAACAATGCGAATTCTGCGATATATTTATGTACATACATGTATTGGTTAGTAGCTATATATCAAGATGATGCTATATACGTACCAGACTCTTTCGTTTCTCACTTGGGTGCTGTATATTGTAAGGCCAAATGTTCACGAGCTTTCGAATTTAATGCTACTTTCGTGCTGGTACTCATCATATTCGAGCTCGCCTTAGATAGTTTCTATGGGAATATTGTCAGATATAGATGAAATGAGTTAGAATGCAGCAGTTGAACTATGTATAATTAATAAATCCCTAAGACAGTAATATTAATCTACTTATCCTATATAATATAATGCATATCATGCAACATCTATATGATGAAAAATTTCATTGAAATCCATTAGGCATACAATTTGAGAACTTTTCACGAAAAACTCTTAACCCTCTATATGAAGTAACTACCAAAGTGCCTATGCTCTAAATCCCAACTCTCAAGTTTCACTAGCGATGGCTTTAAAACTGACAAACGAACTAATGGACAAGCGGACGGACATTGCACAAGTCAATATATTGTTTTCAAATCGTGTTCAGGTATAATTCTATATATGTGTACGTTACAAGTTTATTGTCTTACTTTCGTGCCCACTTTGCCGACGATGACTTTGGCTGGTGTCTGCGAGGCAGTTTTGTTTTTTTCCCTGCCAAATTTGTTGCTAGTCGTCGCTCGGACATTGTTCAGGATTTTGCGTAGCAGTCGTGTTCTCGGGCTGTTTCGTAGCTTCGGCAAGTTCTCAAACAGTTTCATCTGGGTGCCGTTGAGCTCCAGTGGGCGCGTACCATCTGCCTCCTTGTTGACATTATAATTGACCTGAAAGGCGCGCTCGAAGAGACCCGTAGCGGCCAAGGAATTGCGGGGCACATCCAGGACGACACGGATGCAATCCTTTAGTACCAATGGGCATATTCTGGCCGTCACTTCCGTTGAGGCCGACAAATCTGGCGTCGAATTAATCTCAATCAATATGGGATTAAAGTGCTCATCGATCATAAAATCACAGCCATATAATTCAAATGCATTCGGCACCAATTCCGTTTCATCCAAACTGGCCAGGACCACTGCGACCAGATTCTGTTTGAAGCCATTGTAGATCTTTTGCCATGTACCGTCCGGTGCCCCAACGTGTCGCAAATGGCATTTGAATTGGTCCAGTGACCACATATTGTTCTTCGGCAGACGCGCATCCCGATTCACTTTGTTCTTGTAGCGTTTCTGCACTGAGTTGTTCGTCAGGTGTATCGATTCGCGCAGGTCATCCATTGTGAACTCCTGGGAGCTAAACCGCAAATAGCAATCGCGATATGTCCATATCGTTACCTGTGTATCGCTGATCGTAAGCAGCATATACTGTCGTATGTCGAACTTGGTGCGATAGATCAGATATGGACGTTCTATAACCAGAGAGAAAGGAGAATATTAAAATATTTCAGCATGAGTGAAGTGATATAATTTAAAGTCTCTAGCTGAAACAGATATTATGTTAATTATAAACTATCGATTTTTATCGAAAATAGAAAAATATATATACATAATTCAAGCATTTTGCTATCGAAAGCTTCTAAGAGAGGACCTGGGCTTACACTTACCAATATACTTTTGCACGATATATTTGCGATTCTGATTGTTGGATGTCCACTGTATGATGTCGTCCAGGGAGTTACGTATGACAATTCCGATACCACGCGATTGATAGCCAGGTTTCAAGATCCATAAATTACGGCAACCATCCCAGCGATAATCGAGTCGTAGCGATTCGATTTGCTCAAGATATTGGCCAGCTAGACGCGCATACTCCGCCATGACCTTCTCGTTGATTTTGAATTTGGCACCGGAATGAAGCACCTTGGAAGATTGTACCATAAACGATTGATTCTCGATCATTTCGGTGGGCGTCGGCAGCTTGATGCGCGCATCATCCAGAGAGTAATGCTCCTTCTGCCTGATCATTGTCTTTACTTTGTTCAATGCAAAGTCTATCGTAACGCTCATCACAGTGCCATTCTCAAGATCGATCAGCTCGGCTGGACGGTGCTCCTTGATAAACCGCAGCAAACAGCGCGCCTGCGTCTGATGATAATCTTCAATGAATGCCGCACGATCCTCCATGCTGTTGGCGCCAAGGCGATAAAAACGGGGATAGCTCATGCCGCAGACGCCATCTTCTCGAAACCAACGCTCCTGCTCTGCACAACCGACCAGACCCACTTTCGTGGAGAAGTCTAAGAATTGGCTACGTCTGACGCGATTCCGGTACGGTTTCACCTCCGGAAACAAATCGCGCTGCGCCTTGCTCTGCCATATGAAGAACGAGGGGAAATTATTGATCATTTTTGATATGACCACTGCTTCATAGTCGTTGCCACGTCTGGCATGCTCCAACAGCGATTCCTCCGACATATTCTGCAGCTTGGCATGCCGACCTGCTGGTAGTTTCTCCAGCCAGCCTCGTCTTACCAGCGCTCGCCTCACCGTGTGATAATTACCGTAAACGGTAAATATGCGGCGATTGCGATAGGCATCGATAACGCGCGTTCGATAGGTATTGCGCAACTGACGCTTGTGCGCATCCGGCGCTAGCCCAGCCGTCGAGTTAGTGCCCTGACCAGAGCGCGCCTGTGCCAAAATATTGTTGAGACTCGTATGCTTAAGCTGGCTGCCCGCTTGATGCGATAAAATATTATCATATTGGTTATTGCTATTCGATATATTCTTTGGCAACGAACATTGCTTGCATAATGTTATCAGTTCAGCATCCAGATTTTGTATCAACGATTGGATCCGGGAGACGGGATTATAATAGCGATTGCGTTGTGAATTAAAAGCACTCGATGACGCCTGGCTCATATTTAAGTTCTACTCTCTTTATATATATGTATAAATATATATATAAATATATATATATAAATATAGATATGTATATATATGTATCTATATATATATATATATATATATATATATATATATATATATATATATATATATATATATATATATATATATATACACCTATGCAAATTTAGCGGTTGACAATGTATTTTATCAGGTTTTTTTTATTTTTTGTTTCGACTTGATTTTGGTTTTTCTTAATTATTTAATTTTGAGAAATGCGAAAGTTGCGACAGATTTGAACCTGTTTACCGATATCGAAGGATTCGATTACTGATGGGGCTTGCTTCGTTAGATGATCTTTATTGCAGTCTCGAGCTGGTTGGCGTCTAGTGCTATATATATATTTATACTTTTCTTTTTATATATATATTTATATATCAATATATATAAATATATATATAGATTTTGTTTACGGGAGTAATTTTTTAATGCAGCTGCCAAAAACGATTATGTTGTCGCTGCAACTGAACGAGAAATTTTGAAGCAGTAGCCAAACCTTTTTTGCTAACAATATCGCATTTAAATAGGCAATGTCTTTATTGATTTATGAAACATAGCTTCGCTTAAACGGTAAAAAATTTGAGACCAAAAAAACTTGTAACGAAACGAGTGCAAGACGAAATTTGATTTAAACATACAAGCGCCCATAAAATACAAAAAAAAAGGCATTATATAATGTTAATATCACAGCTTGCTCCTCAAAACAAGTAATCATATCAACAGGCCTAAGAAACTCTGCTCGAAATACTTCAAATATTTTTCAATTTCTTTCGCATTTCATCATTCAATTGGAATATGGTTCCATGTCCGGGCACAATATATTCGCATAATTCTGCCATGCGGTATCGTTGCTCCGCCTGTTGTTTTTCATCCTCACTGCCAGCAGCTTTCCATATCTGGGCATCCTCTATGTCCTCAAAACGCTCGAATAGATCCCCGCATATGCCCACAGTGGTGCCATCAAACTGACTATTGTGCACGATAACCGATGCACAACTTAACGTATGTCCAGGTGTCTTCTCCAAGAGAACCTCTCCGTGCGTATCCAGTGCTCCGGTATGCTCGGTGTAAAGATCATGCTTGGATGCTGTGGAGCCGACGATATGAAAGCGCGCTTGCTGAAATAAATAATTGCAGCCAATATGATCCGAGTGCCCATGTGTACATACAACCACATCTATATCATCTGGTTGCAATCCCTGTCCAGCTAGCAGAGATTTCAAGTGCTCGCCATCCCATGCGGTCATAGTGTCCACGATGATATTGCTGCTATCACGGCAACGGATTAGCGTGCAGCTGCAATTGGCACGCATTGCTTTTGGATCATAGGCATCCTCCTTGGCATAGCCCGATTGCAGCACAATCACGTGATTTTGCAACATTTATTAAGTAACAAAAATTAGTATTAATTCTATCGGAAAATTTAAGGCTACAAAGTAATTTTCAAATTATCAATCAGCTGTTTGTGGAGTGAGCAGCTGCGAGCTCAGTAAATATGTTCTTTTTAAATAGTTCTCTTTTGATTTTTCAACTTTCTTCACATACTTGTTCATTTCAGCTGTGTTGCTCATACAACGAAGAACGAAGCTTACTGAGGACAACCAGAGCTCATTTGTCTATACTCTTATTTTCCTTTTCTCTTCATTCTAGCCGCTACGCTGAATTTTCTATGTTAATTTAAGCTTATGCCGTTTACTTGCTTACTCACTTTGGCACACTCATTTAAAAGCGTCCGTTGCATTACCAGGGCTGCAACATCACCCACGCAAGTTGGCAGCGCCCGCACGGCTGTTGGTCGTCGCGCTCACATTTAGCAAGTCGCAATTTGTTTATTATTTAACACACAGAATTTTCTGTATAAAAATTGTAAATTTTCAAATGTATTTAACCTATCTGCCGCGCGCGCCATGCAAATACCTGCAATATATGCAGCAAATGCGACAACTGCAACTATTACGGCGACATGTAAACATGGGCGCAAAGCCGCCTATCAGAGAGGCAACACAGTCGAAGACAACATCAAAGCAACTTCAGCAATTGCTTCCAATAGCTGCAACCCACACATATAGCATGCAGCGCCATGCAACATTTAGTAGTGATCACGAGCAACAGGTGTCAGATGAGCTCGATGGCTGCGAAATATCCTCCATCTCGGGCAACTTAGATGATGAGATAAATTTATATTTGAGTGCAGCCCGCAGTCCACAGGAGTTAATGGATATAGTTGCCCAAAACCAGATGGAGCTCCCACATCGCATACAGTGCATCTCTATGCTCTGGGCCCTCTATCAGCAACTGTCGGGCAGCGAGAAGTCGGAGTTAACTCTCCAGCTGCAGCAGTTGCTTCCCTCCTTGGCATTTCATGTAGCCTCCATGAACATGGATCAGTTGAGCTGCTGCTACCTTTATCTACGCAAGATGCACGTGCCTAATAGTGAGCCCACACTGGAGCGTATACTGATGCGTGCCCTGGATATGATCGAGTTGGCTGTGGACAAGGAACTGGTGGCTTTACCCGCGCTCTCCCGTTTGTTGGTGGCCATCAATTTGGAACGAGATTTCTTTACGCCGCTGGTCTGCCGCAATTTTATTCCACACCTGGAGCAGCATGTGACCAACTGTCAAAGCGAACAAGACGCACGTCTCCTATCCACCTGCCTCTTCCAGCTGCATCCACTAATCGATGCAGAAATGTTAACCAGATTCAAGCAACGCGTTTCTGAACTGCTGCAGTCTGGGACACTGAGCAGTGCCACGCCCAAGACACTACTCAAATTACTTCACATGTTCAATCAGCCCACCTGGTCACATTTGAACACAACCATAATACGACAATTGATGCTGACCCTGTGCAATTGTGTTCCCACGCTGGAGTCGAATGACCTGAAGATTGTCTGTCGCACCTTTCTGCATCATCATGAGCCGGCAGCACTCGTAGCGCCACTCACGCAGGCAACAGCTGCACTGCTGCAGCAGGAGCCAACGGCAGATGCATTATTCTGCGCCGTGCCATTTGCTTCACTGCAGCAACGCGACGCCTACATGCAACAATTCCATCAACTACTTCACTCCAATTCCGCCTGGCAGCTGCCCAACGCCAGTGGCCATTTCTTCAGTGTGCTGCGCGCTCTAAAGGTCGCGGATGTGCGCTACTGCGATGCCTATTGGTCCGCAGTGGCCGACCAGCTGCCATCCTGCGCCCAGGAGCGGTCCCAGCTGAGTTTCCTGCGCCATTGCCAGCGCTACATGAACTTCAACAACAACCTCGGCGGAACCTATCGCCATCAGAGAGTGGAACGTAAGCTGAGTCGCCTCTGCATAGATTCCATCGAACAGGATGTGGCCGGAAGATTGCCCACAAAATTCGCCCGTTTGGCTGCCTTCGTGCTGGGCTATGGCCATACACCATTTGATTGGAAGAAGTTTCCCAATGTTCTGCTTAGCAAAATGTTGGCCATGGCACCACAATTCAATATCCAGGATTGTTTCCTACTCAGCCGTGGCATGCAGATTGCTTGCGAGCTGCGCTTCCGTCAGCATGTACCACATGTGCTGGCCATGCAGCTGGCCACCATGGACAGCATCCTAATTGCCTGTGCCGAGCGCCACTTGAGCAATAGCGAGGAGCAGCCCCTCAATGCCAGCGATCTGAGCGTCATTGTGCGCACGCTCAGCCATCGCAAGAGTAAGTCAATCAGTCAGTCTGCCAATAATTCATCCCTAGGCTAATCCTCATCTCCATCGCCATCTTCGACAGCTCTAAAGAACAGCCAGGTGTACAACCAAGCGCTAGCCCACTATAAGACTCTGCAGTGCAACGATCTCAATTCGCGTGTCGTGCGCGAGATGGCCTACAATTTCAATGCCTCGCATTACTTTGTGCCCGAACTGCTGGAGTCCATGTTCGACTACGTGGCCCAACAGCACGAGCACGTAACGGGCGATACCGTCGAGAAGGTCCTCACCTGCGCCTACAATCTGGGCTACACACCTGCTTCGCTGGAGGCATTGGACTATGCTGCTTTGGTCTTAATACGGTGCGTGGACAAGTTGATATCTTGTTAATAGCTAATACATGATATAGTACATAGTAGTGTGATCTCTTTAAAAGCTCACTGAGAATAACTTACTACAACTATTAAATCAGCTCTACCTTCTCCCACCCACAGCGACTTTGATCACATGAGCGGTTTATCGTTGGTGCAATCGTGCCTTGCGCTTTGCTTCTACAAGGCAATACCTGAGCAGCTAATCAATCAGGTGTTCTGCGTCAAGTTTATTCAGCGCATTGAGGACGAGATCCAGATCTGTTACTCAAAGGCCACATATCCTGGCATGGTGCTGAATCGTGTGATGCAACTGAACCGCACTGTTTGCCTGGATATGCCCGAAACAAACGTGCCCTGGTTCCAGCAGAACTATGTGGAGGCACAGCTCAGCAAGAGTGAATATATACTACATTTTAGCCCAATTATCTAATTATCTAGAGTAAAATTTCTTTTAGAACACGTTGTACCCAGCGCTTTTAATACGGATGTGAAGCAGCTGCTGCGCGATCTGCTCAAGGATGAAAACTATTTTCGCTGCAATCACACAACGCCCTATGGCTATCAAATAGACTTTGTGATACACTTCGATAAGGACAAACGACCCATGCCCGCGCCAGCCGTTGAGGCCACGATGCTGGATCGCATAACCAAGTAAAAACTCGCAATATTATATAATAATAATACCTATAATAAAAGTTACATATATATTATCTATATCCTTACCAGAGTGGCTATACTGTTGCTCAAACTGGACTCCTTCTGTGAGAATGATTTGACCGCATTGCGCGGCCCGGAATCTTTAAAGATCAAGCATCTGGAAATGATGGGCTATAAGGTGCTGCACATTAACGAACACGACTGGAACTCCAAGTACATGAATGCGCCTGGCGCCAAGGCAAACTATTTGAAATGCCTACTGCAAATTTCGCATTAATTAGAAAAATTCATTAATTAACTTGTTAAGACACTTGACTAAATTAAGACTTACGTTTAAAATTAGTTTAGCTGTGCAGTTGTTGATTATATTGTTCTTGTTGTACTTAGCAAATGACGTCTGTATATATATTTTACTAGTCATAGAAAAGCTTTGAGTTTAGATTTAATTTTTATAAAACATACATAAGATAAAAAAATTAAAGATTGTGTGAATTATGCTTGAAATGAGATGGAATTTTAATATTTTATTGAATGAATATAGAGTATCTGGGAAAAACTGCATAAAATAAGTAGTCAATAATTAATATTTAATTAATATAGGCAATATACTAATTGAATATCAAAAATTTTAAATTAGGAATTAATATATGATTGCAAAAAGAAAAGCTGCTTGAATCTAGATTCAAATGAGTTTTTAAATGTAAGAATAATAGCATGGAATATATAATAGTATGAAAAGGCATGAAAGGGTCAATTAAGACAGTCTTTGGGCAACTGAACAGTAATCCTGTCTTAATTGATATATAATTTGATTATATATAAATCTCATTTGGGATATAGAAATATAGTTATAGTTAATCGCATTGTTGGAATGTCAAATCCCAATAAATGTAGTAGATGATTTGTTTTGAAAATGTTTATGTCCTGTATCATACGTTTTGCCAATTACTTTAGGCGGAGTCATCCTGCGATGCAGTGCACCATTTGTAGGCATTGTTAAACATGAGTTGCCAGGGACTCTCGACCTGTGTGGCGGGTACCTCGAAGCCGGGCGGCACATATGGCCATTGATACATGGCACTGCATCTCTCCGGATGCGGCATCAATGCCAAATGACGGCCATCGGGCGAACAGAGGCCAGCAATTCCCTTCGGACTGCCATTGGGATTCATGGGATACAGTTCGGTGGGCACACCCGTATCATCCACGTATTGCAGCGTTACCAACTTTTCGCTCTGCAACTGCTCGAGCAGCTGTTCATCTTGGAATGCAAAGCGTCCCTCGCCATGGGCCACCCAGCAGCCCAACACCAAATCCTCCATATTGCTCAGCATTATCGAACGATTCGGCGGTATGCGAACCGTGGACCAACGGCACTCGAAGCGCTGCGAACGATTCTGCAGCAGCGCCAGCTGAGGCAACACCGGAGATTCATCCTCAGCTTTGATGCTGCCCACAAAATCAATCAATGTCATCAGCTGACAGCCATTGCAGATGCCCAGCGAGAAGACATCCTCACGTTTCTTGAATGCATCAAATTGGGGCTGCAGCAGACCACTATGCAATATATTAGCTGCCCAGCCCTTGGCAGAGCCCAAGGTGTCCGCGTAGCTAAAGCCACCGGGAAAGACGATTCCACGATATTTCGACAGAGTCGTCTTGCCTGTAGATAAATTGAATTAGATAGTTTAACAGGACAATTGTTTAAATGCCTCACATGATAGCAGATCCGACATGGTGACATCATGCACCTCGAAATTGGCGCGCAGCAGACTGGCCATCATTTCCCTTTCGCTATTGACGCCCTCCTCGCGCAGCACAGCCACGCGTATGGGCTGAGTGCATCGCTTCAACACGAGCTCCGCTTGCAATTGAGCAGGTGCCTTATATTCTGGAGCCCGTCGGTAACTGAGGCTTTCGTATTCCGATTTTACACACTCCACATTTGCCTGCAGCTTCTCCAGTTCATAGCTGGTACGTTCCCATTGCTTATAAAGCTGAAGCAGTGGCTTGGCCAGCAGAGTTTTGTCCCCGTTCTTAATGAGCACCTGAGCCACATCCAAATTAAAGCCAGTCGCTCGACCCAAGTAGTAATTGGGCACACCTGCAGCCTGGAAGCGTGAGCGCACTGCCTTCAATTCGGTTTCATCTACCTCCAAAACCCAGCCGCATTCCTCGCTGAACAGGAGACACATATCAAAGCCAATTATGTCACTCACTGCATCGTATTCAGAGATGCCAGCAACGGCCTCCTTAATGTCCACCTCCAGACCACTCAGACCACCAATGGCCATCTCCAGCAGGCAAACAATGAGGCCGCCATCGCTAACATCGTGACCAGCCAGCAGAGCACCTTCTCCCAACAGGCTTTGCGTGATCTGGAAAGCATCGCTCAACGCTTTTGTACGCTCCATATTGGGCGTCGTTTTGCCCTGCTGGGCATAGGCTTGGGCCAATGCTGAGCCACCCAGTCGAGCACATTGCTCTATGTTGATCCAGAGCAAAGCGCTCGATTTGCCCCTTGCCGGACCCTTGAGATCGGGTGTTATGCGCACGCGCACATCCGGACAGGGGGCATAAGTGGAGAGCACAAGTGTGCCAGGTGATTTGATTACCTCGCCATCTACTTTAGCAGCCATCGAAAGGGAATCCTTGCCGCCATCGATACCAACGCGCAGCTCCTGCAGCAAAGTGCTGAGCGCCAGACAAGCTTCGTACATCTTATAGCCTTCGCCGGGCAATTTGGCTGCCCACATCCAATTGCCCGAGCACTTGATGTCTGCCAGGTCGCTAATCTTCACAAAGACCAGATTGCTGAGCGCCTCGGCCACGCACATGTGAGCCATGGCAACGGGACTGAGCAGACCTAAGTAAAAAGGAATAATTCAAATCAAATAATTATAGACAAGCATATACTCCAGAAACTTACCCATAATGGGCTGTGTGCCTATGGAGGTGGCTATGCCCGAGTGGCTAAAATGCGATACAGTTGTCAGGGCATAGTCCGAGAGTGGTGCCTGCAATGGACCCACGCACTGCTGCTGCACAATGAGCCCGCCCACACAGCGATCCACCTTGTTGGTGAGGAAACGTTTGCTGCCCACCGCCACGATGCTTAACACCCGCTCCAAGGCGTCTGACAACTCCAGCGCTGCTGGCAGTTGCAATTCCTTGCTGGGAATGGGTATGGCTTCCAGCTCATAGGTGCGCTTAGGCAATTCACCCAATACGCTCGACAATTCCAAATCAAATGGTGATTTTCCAAAGCTTTCGCGCACCTCCGGCAGCAGAACCTCCTGCATATCCTTTGGCGCCGCTTGCTCCACCAAGGTGACGCGACCATCGCCAGTGACAACGCCCACGAAGCTGATGGGGCAACGTTCACGTGCACAGATCGTCTCCAACAACTTGCGATCGTCTGGGTTGCAGAGTATGGCATCGTTCTCTTGATATTCAGCGCCCCACAGCTCCAGAGCCGTTATGGTTGGGTCACCCAGTTTGAATTCCTTCGAGAAGATGATAGCACCAGCAAATCCTGGCTCTACCAGCTCCTTCAACACATTTCCATTGCCGCCAGCGCCTTGATCGTGGATGGCCAAGATGGGATTCCGTGGGCCTAGCTCAATGCAGGCGCGCACAACACGATTCAATTTATTCTCCATTTCCGGATCGCCACGTTGCACAGCATTGAAATCCAGTTCGGCATCTCCAGAGCCTTGAACCTCAACGGAGCTGGCAGCGCCACCGCCCACTCCAATGCGATAGACTGGCCCGCCGATCTTGGCCAGCAGATGGCCACGTTCGGGCGTTATTTTTTTACGCATTGAGGCGGGCATCGTGCCCAATCCTCCACTGAACATAATGGGCTTCACATACTCCTCCCGAATACTGGGCTCCGCTGCATTAAACAAGCCATAGGAGATTGTAAAACCATTGATCAGCGGCTCTCCAAACTTGTTGCCATAATCCGATGCGCCGTCGCTCGCCTCGATGAGCACCTGCAGAGGCGGAGCAAAGGAACCCGGATACTTCAGGCCAACCGGCTCATAGGGCTGACTGTAACCGGGTATATTCAGGGCGCCCACACAGTAGCCGGCAGTGCCAGCAATGGGCAAGCCACCACGACCCACGCCCTGGACATCACGCAGACGGCCACCGGTACCTGTGGTGGCGCCACTGAACGGTGCTACAGCTGTGGGCATATTATGCGTCTCGGCGGTGAATATCAAATCCGACTCAACGCGCTTTAATTCCACAATTCCAGGCTCACTAACGAGTCGCGGCTGCAGTGCATCATGCTCGAATCCCACAATGGCGCTACTATTGTCACTGAATTTAATTGTATTATTCGGATTCGTATTCTTCTGAGTGTCCATGATGAGTTTGATTAGAGAGCTGGGCAGCTCCTGGCCCTCGAGCACCATGCGTCCGCGAAAGAACCAATGCCTGGAGTGCTCGCTATTGCTCTGGGCGCAATCGAAAAGCTCCACTGTGGTGGGATCTCGCTTCAGTATCTTGCAGAACAAATCGTAATAGTAGTCCAAGTCATAATCGGTAAATGCCAAGCCCAACTCTTGATTAATGCGCTCCAGTGCAGCACGTCCTTCGGCAAGCATTGGCACATAATGCCAGGCGGCCTGCTTTGCCGGCAGCTGTTCGTCGAAGCTTTCGCGCGGCGTATTCGCTGCAGTATATTGGCAATGGGTCATCCGGTCCCCAAGGAGAGCCACATAGTTAGAAACCTCTCTGGTTGCGTCTGTGGCAAAGCGCAACAGATAACGCGTCGAGTTTTCCATGCGACGCACCTCTGTGTAGCCGAGATTATGAAATATGTTCACACAGTTGGTTGAGTAGGGTGTGGAGAAATTGAAGCGTGGCCCAATCTCCACCAGCATTTCGAATTTACTATTTTCCAGCTGAAGTTTTGTCTTCTCTTCGAGACTGCTGATCTTTTGCAGCGGCTGCCTAACCAGCCATTGCATCAATTGTTCCAATGCCAAAGGATAGGGGCACAACGCCTTATCATACTCTAAGTGATAGCAACGCTCCATTCGCACCGACACCAAGTCCTTATCGACGCTCTGCAGGCGCTGCAGTATGCGCTGCTTATCAGCAGCATCAAATACTGCTTCATCATAAAGTCGCAAAATGCCCATTGTCAATTGGCTGTAAGAAATATACAATGGAAAATATTATAATATTAAAGGTATTACTAAAAATTCTTTCGCATTTGTTGTCAATTTATAATTGAAGTGAATTCATTTACTTATATATTATTTTATTTTTGTTTAATTATTTTATTTATATTTTGTTATCAAGAACAACTCTTGCACTCTCATTACCCTCACTTTTAATAGTATAACCGCAATAAGTTTGTCATGAACGAGCCTACACTAAGCCGGCATATGCACCAATACACTTACACCTCACTGCCCACAATCAATTTTGCTATTGCAGCCGCATAGCGTAAGCAGTTACAGTCTCACTTACACATGCACAGTACCTCCTATGTGTATATACATATACATATGTGCCAGTTTACTTTTGTATGTAAAGTGTGCCGAAACAACCTTGAGCCGCATATTTTGGAATACTCTCCCTACACTAGCAGAAATATACGTTCATATGCATAAACTTATGCATGTAAACACGTACATTTTATGTACATTCAGATAAAGTAACACTTTTCTCAGGCCAAAATAAGCCAGCAAACTTGTTAGCCCGAATTACTGCAACTGGAAACCTCTTACTTTTCTTTTTATTATTCAAGTCCGATTTTATACGTGTGTTCTTTAGACGCTTCTCTGCCAGACTGAACACTAGAGGCACTGGTACTGGAGCCTAATCCAGCTTTCCAAGCCGTTGGCAACTGAAACACCCCTGGCAGGGGGTTATCAGCCCACCACAGATCAGCGTCTCATGTTACACAGAGCAGACGCCCAGTTGCAATTGCAGTCATTGGCACTGGCGTCACGCAATTTGTATTTTTGTTTTTATTATTGCTGATAAACAGCAAAAGCGTAAACATATTTATTTGTTGCGAATTGACACACAGAACTTGTAACCAATAATAAATTAAATTAAATTTAGTTTGGAAATTCACTAACCCGAATACAATAAGCAATGCGCACGTGCACGCGCACAGCAAGTAAAGAACACTGAAAAGCAAGAGAATTATGGAGAGAGGGAACGACAAAACAAGCTAGACGCGCACGTTTTATTTGCTGTAAATTGGTCATTGGGTATGTGATGAGCATAAAACAGCTGTTCAAAGCTCAAAAGCTACCCTGTACTAGCGAATGAATTGCAAGAGAGTGGATAAGACCAGCTATGTTAATATATTAATACCATTCAAAATTATTACGTATTTCTGAATTGTTATAATAACTTTAAGACTAATATGTGAATTATATAAAATATTTAATTATATTTTTTTTGCAGACGTGTGCTGTTAAAATTAAAATAATGAAATACCATATTAATTTAATTATTTCTGAAGTCAAATGTTAACTTTATTAAAGCTTCTTATTTATTTATATATTTGAACGCTTTCCATTCATTATATTTAAATATATGCATATGTATATATTTATGAATGACTTAAAAAAAATACTTAACAAAATTCATGTGCCTGTGTGTGAATGGAGCAGACAATGTCACGCGCTGAGTACTATTTGAATTTAAAAAAGCTTTTTACTTTTCATTATTGTTGCCAGTGACGCCGTCAATTCGCCGCGTATAGCAACAGCAACCACATGCGAAACAAAAAAGGAAAAAAACGTCACTAAAAGCTTTGCACCAAGCACAGCAAACTAACGGAAAGACGCTATTAAAACGTGTGCACCAATACAACTGTAGACGGAAATTATCTTGGTTTAATTTTAAATGTAAATGCATATGTATTTGTACAAGTATTTCAATCAATTTAGCGGTCATCAACGATGATAGTGTAGGCCGCCAAATACGCAATAATGCATCATATACAATGTACATGAACCATGTTGTGCACATACAATATCCATAGACAATTTAGAATACAATTTTAATAATGTAATAAATTTGTGAATTGTTTTCTTAGAGCGCTTCTTGATTTATTATCTGACTCGCTTTTTATTTAATTTTTTTTTTTTTAATTTTTCTTTTTTCAACTTGTTGCATATATTACAAACTATATATTAGTTTTTATTTATGAATAAATAACTTTTGCTACTATGCTGCTCCCTCTGTTGGTGCAGCTGCTTCATCTGATGACATTGTTGTTTTGGCTGCTATTGTTGTTGTGTGGATTAAGTTGCCTAACGGGCTGACCCTCGTAATAGTAATCAGAGCAACGCGCAGCTTTCATATGGAAAAGGTTCGACTTTTTTTTTTTGGTTTTTTTTTTTTTTTTTTCAATTTGATTTTAAAAAATATATCAAAGCAGACGAATAGTTCGTTTGCTATTTATCAAAGAGAAAAGATTATGTTGAATTATTGTTTTGTATGTGTGTGTGTGTGTGTGTGTGTGTTTAAGGTTCGTTCGATTATTTTATGCGTGTTGTTTTTTTTGTTGTACTACGACAAAGCAGCGTACCCGACGATGCGCCTACAACGGTAAATTCCAATTCACTACGTCCAAAATAACGGCACCCACTTACAATTATGGTGCTAGATAGATAAATAGTTATCTACCCTCGTTATCGATAGCATCTATGTTATGTGCATGGCTTTCGCCGCTTTGGCCGCCTGTGCACCAATCTCATCCATACTTTTACGCGCGCTCTCCGTGACCTCGTCAATGGAACGCCGCGTACTGTGTATCAGTTCGTCTGTGCCCCGTGCAGCTGAATCGGCAATGCTCTTCACCTCCGTATTGATCAGGCCAATGACCCATTCGAGTCCTTGGCGACCCTTGCCCGCATTCGAACTAATCGTGGAGGTTAGCAGATCTTCCATATAATGTGAGAGAGGCACGCCATAGACAGTTACTGTAGCCTCTTGTTTGAGCAGCGTTTTTGTTGCATCGCCCGGATGCGGCTCATAGTAGAGAACCTCGTCAACGCTGATATTGCGGCAAAATGTTAAGTTATTTGTCTTTAAGACCATCTGTTTACGCTGCGGATCCACAGTGGAGCGTTCGCTGGCAAAACAAGTCTTCGCCGTGCCAATCAGCGCGTGCGTCCACTTTGGGAAATACCATTTGGATTGAACTAGACGGTGAGTGTGCAGAACTCCATTTACCACTCGACGCTCCACGACATCCGTGCCAATAATAGACGGTGTCATTGGATTTGGATACTTTCGCCAGGCGGCCTGGGTGACCGTCTCCCATGGATGGTTGAAGACATGCTCGGACGTCCAGATTTTCATTATGCAAGCGTTGCTGGCGTTCACCTCTTTTCTCTCTTTTATACGTATTCGTCTCTTCGTCGTTGCTGTTGTTTCGCAATCGAGGCGCGACACTAGGGGCTGCCTATTTATCGCCGAGGCAACAGGACAGAATAAAATGTAAATGTAAAAGTAATGTGTTTAGAATCGTTTTACAAAAAAATTTTGAGAAAAAATTTCAGAAGTTTTTTGGTGACAAATACAGAAGACCGACCTTTACTCAGGTGTTCTGCGAGTAGTGTGACTGTTCGGCTATCGATGTGTCTGTCGGTTTAATCGGTATGTCGATAACTATAAATAATACACATGTGAACACTCTTTAAAAACATCGTTAGGTATCAACAACGTAAGTGGGACAACACTGAAACGGTTGTTTAAATGTAAATATATTAACTAAAATGTGAACTTTATAAGTCGCCTTTTAATATTTTTACACAGTAACATAAATGTATACTGAAATTATTCCGCAGGAAACGTAAGAACGTAGTTTTCATATGGACACGGATCAATGCGCTTTAGACGCTCTTCCAAGAACTGCCGAAACTCCCGCATATCGTTAGCGTCTTTTACTAATTTTTTCAACTCCGCCATAAGACATTCTTGCAGCGCCTCCTGACTGGGACTTCCCGGTTCTTTCTTCACTGTTTTTTCCATTCGCATTTTTATTTGATTGCGTATTTTAAACTTTTCATAGGTCAAAATATTGGCCAAAGCTTTCGCGGGCGTTCGACGGGTTGGATTTGTGGTGTTTGCTTGTTCAGCCTCAACTGACGAGCTAGATAATCGTTTCGGCGGCTTTTGTTGCTGCTGCTGATGCTGGGGCTGCACTTGCGGCTGCGGTTGTGTTTGTTGCTTCTGTGCCTGTTGCTGCTGTTTGTCGTTCTGGAATTCCATCATTTTAGCCAATGCACGAACGGGAGCGCCGCGCAGTTGTATGGTTGAGGGAACAGTTGATGGCTGTGCCTGGTCGTGTGCCTTTTGTCTATTATTCTTCTCGGATTCCGCGTCGGTTGGCCTATCAATAAACTCCGATAAGGAGGGTTCTTGTGGATGTGTCTGTCCCTCGGATTGGGCAGATTCTGTCGATTGTTGAAAGTTGATTAAATGGAATACACCATTTGTATCGTAAAACTTATAGCCCAGCATTTCAAGGGCGATTTCAGTTAATAAATACGACATTTTCGTGCAGAAATTCTTTACAATGTCAACTTGACCTAGCGTCAGCTAGAGATAGAGATGCAATGTATGCAAATCGTCGATTATTTTGAAGATGAGTTTCGATGGGAAGAATATACCAATCTTATTAAATACTTATTTGAATAATCTCATTTAATAATAGTATGAATTTAAGTTTATCCACATTATTTGTTTAATAAAGCAGCAAAGAAATGTCTAGAAATATTAAAATTTTTTACAATCGAATTTGAGACATTCAACAGCCACCTTTAGCCCATAATTTTTTAATCTAAATTTCGCGTGGTAACATTGTTTGATGTCAAAAACAGCTGTTTTGGCGTTGGTTATGAATTGATGTACGACGCATTTATTGACATAGATATGTGAATGAAATATTGAATATTGCCAAATTAAAGCAAAGCCCATTTTTTAAATGATTTCACGGAACAAATCTTTTTAGTTAATGAGCCGCTATGAAAATCAACGAAAAGAACCTATGTGTTTTTGCCCGAACGCCACCGTTTGACATGGAGGGTAAATAAATTGAATACTCTAAAAAATTAAAAAAAAAAAAAAAATAAGAATAAGAATGAATACCTAACATATTTGTGCTATTAATAATCACTTGCAGGTTTCCTCAACAAGCGGGGTGTAGTCAATAAAGCATTTCAACGACGCTATTTTGTGCTCAAAGGCAATTTGCTATTCTATTTCGAGTCGCGCCTGGACAAGGAGCCGCTGGGCCTGATTATAGTGGAGGGATGCACCATAGAACTATCGGAGGAATCGGATGCCGACAACTACTGCTTTGAGATCGCCTTCAATGGCAATCGCACCTATATACTGGCTGCCGATACACAAGAGTGCATGGAGGCCTGGATGAAGGCCTTGACATGCGCTGGCTACGAATATAAACGGATCATTGTTGCTGAGTTGCAACGTCAGCTGCAAGAGATCGAATACTCTCGCAACAGTAGGCGACAATAACATCTACTCTCTATATATTCTACTAACTACATTCTGTTGCAGAGATGCGCAGTGAGCGTAGTGATCCACATCAAACGGTAACCGATGGCCAGGGCAAACCTGTCCCGCCACCCAGACGTCCAAATCCCTTCAACCGCCCACCGCCGCCGCCGCCAATCGAAGCGGGTGGTGTACGAGGCGGTGTGGTCATATCTCCGATGCCCTACATCTCTGACTACTATGCGGTGGGCAAAGCGAAATCAACTCAACAGGAGCTGCACAGTATAGGTAAGTCATCGATGACGTCACTGACTGCGTCACGCGGCAGCTGTTTCGTTAAGATTCTAACCATACCGTTACACGGCAGACTAAAGAGAGCGACAATGACCGAAAACTATTGAGCTAGCCGGTGATGCGGATACCCTGCATAGCTTGACAAATTTACTTAATACTGCAAATTAACATTTATGATACCCTGCAAATTAGTAATTATTAGGCTATAGTAGAGCATGGCTTGCTTAAGATCACGAGATGTTCATGCGTATAGTAGGTTATCTATATGACTGCTGTTTATAGTAAATAGGAAGATAACTTTGTATATATTATAAACATATAGGGACCACGGCAGTACAAATAATTTCAGGGTCAAAGTAGATAGACAGTTGGAAAGCTTAAAAAGTTGAACATCAGTATCAAATTCATTATATAAATGCCCAACTTTTGTTTAGTTCATTAAAAAAAAAAAAAAAAAAAAAAAAAAAATACTGTGTAGGCCTTTTGTTAAATGTGTTACATAATTACGCTTGAAATTGTCATGCCCTGTGCGATGGTATAAATTGCGCTTAGGGAAACGATTTGCAGTGCAGGAAAAAAGACAAAAACGTGCGCGCATTTCTTTCTCAACTCGGCCTTATCTCAGTTGCTTTCGTACGGTAGCTGTGCTATGCCACTCTACGAGCTCATTGCAAAGATCTGCTGCATATTTCCAAACCGAGGCTACAAACAGTTGATCAATATTTCAGATAACGGCAATGGCAGTGCGGGCAGCCCACATTCAACGCCTCGTACACGCCGACGTCAGGCACCGACTGGTGCATCGCCGAGCGTTTTCTATGATGACCTGCCCATAGCACCGGCCAGATCAACAGTATTAGCTAAAAGCAACAACAATCACATTGATCGAGCGGAGCAGAAGCGTCGCCAGGAAAAGGCCACCGAGCGGTTCACGCAGCGTCATGAAAAGTTCCGCAAAGTCATCATGCGCGACATCCTATTGTACAGGGAACGCCAAACCCAGCCATTGATACAGCTGTAGATCGTGGGAGAACTGCAAAAATGCGATTTTTGGGCCTATTTTATATGTTGAAAATTTACATTTACAATTATCTATTTATGTTCAATTTCCAGAATCCTTAAAAATTTAAATATACACACACATACACGAGAAAGACCTATCCACTAATACAGAGTCATATGTTAATTGTTTATATAAATTATAGTACAATATTAAATTTAATTCCTCTCCTATAATTGTGTGAGATACTCTCTCAGAAGATCATTGCGTTCGCGTTGTATCGCATTGGATTCGTCGATCCGTTTGCTCAGCTCTCGTATGGCAGCTATGCGATTGCGCTCCAAGATTAACAATTGTCGCTGCTGCTCCTGGCTGACAGAGAGATCCGTCTTTGTTCCATTATCTGTGCCCAGGGCTTGAGCGTCTATGGATGCACACATATCAGTCAATGCAACATGCGCCGGCTGTTGCTGTTCGGCTGCTCCACTTTCGTTCTTTACTTCAGCAGGCGCCTGTTCGCTATGAAACATTTCGTCGAAGGTGTCATAATAGTCCCAGACGACACGCCTGCGTCCGTTTTTGCGCAATGTTTCGCGACACGTTCGATACGTCTTCTTCATGTTGCGCCACTTGCGATCGCAGATATCCTCGTTGATGCCCTTGTAGCCAGCCCGTTCCATGTCCTCCACAATCTCTGTCCAGAGTGCGCGTTTTCTTGTTTTGGGATCACGGAATCTGTGGCGTCGTTCCGAATAGAGTTCGACCAGCAGCTTGGTACTCTTTACATTCCAATGCCATTCTTCGACACCCCCTTCGCATTCCAGATAATAATGCGTGGTTTCAGTCTCGTCATTGTCCATTTCATTCATATGCTGGCCTGTTCAAGAATGCCAAACTATTATTTTTATATTAATAATAACAAAAATAGCTAGGGCTGCAATACTCCTAGCATTGACGATACCAAAAATATCGGTATATCGCACTATCGTACTTAATAGGTGTTTTAAAGTTAATTTTCTATTTGCAACTGTGTATACACTGATGGTCTGACCGCTTTGCTTCTTGTTGTTTTTGCTGCGTACGCCGTACGGAACGGGAACGGTATACGAAAAGTTATTAGTTGTGAAGATTGAATTGTAAGTTATCAACTGCCAATATAGCCTAAAATTAAGTGAATCGTTTCAATCTGAGTAAGGTAGTGTAGTACGGTTTGTTAAGCTTTTGCAAGTGTTTCCTTATCATGCTGCCTTTGTTCGCAGTGTGTTTTTGTAAAAGTGACGCCAACATTTCAAATTTGATTTAAGCCGCCGTTCAACGAAATCATTCGTTTGGCATAAGCGGCGTATTATTTGCTAGACTATGAAGTAACATATACTTTGATTTCATGCAAAAATCTGTGCCTTTTCAATAGAAGTTCAAAAATACTTTGCAGTCGGCGTTAGCAGCGCAGCGGGCTTACTTTGTTGGCGTTCATTTTGTTTTTCCATGCTTGCAAAACCACCACACAAACACATACGCACGTACACGCTTGCACACACACACACACACAAACACACAAGCGAAACAAGCAGCGCGTGAGAGCTGCGATTAGAGATGAGCGCTTGTCAACATTCCTAGCACGACGCGTGCAAATATTTGGCAAATTCAAAATATTTATAACTAAAAAGTTATTATAATTGAAATAAATGATTTAGTTGCAAATTGAATTTAAATCGAATATCAATGTTTTAGCTGCCACCATACTAGATTAAAATATAATGTGTATTTATGTTAGCTTATCGTGTCACGCTCACATCACTATGAACAACCGCTACGCTCTGCTGCGTACAAATTCTGGTTCTGGCTCTCAATGTTTGCTGGTCTCTTTACAGCTGCAGAGAGACAAAGATAGAGACGCATTACTGCTAATTGAAAGATGTCCGCTAAGCGCAAGGCAGGTGGTAACGGGGCCGGTCCCAACAAGCGTCGCCCAAAGAAGAAGGAATCAGACTACGAGGATGAGTTCAGTGATGAATCCGACGACGATGTCGCCCAACAGCAACATGCTGCCGGTCAAATGGAGGTGCTAATACCACACGATAGTCTGGATCCGCCCAGTAAGCTGCCAGAGGATTTGCTAGCGACTCTGGAGAAGACACCGGGTCAGCTGCTGATAGCAGGCATGGTGACCTGGGATCTAACCGGCAAACGGGATCGCAAAAATGTCACAAAAGTGCGTCCCAATCTGTATAGCTTTCATCGCTTTACAGATGAGATGGTACGTGAAAATTGCAACAATAATACCAAAACTCAATTATTAACGTATTCCAAAACTTGCAGTATCGGTATGCTGCCAGTGGACCAGCTGCAGCACACACAATACTCATCAACATGGATCGCAAGGCATTGGGCTTTGGACGCAATCCCAGTGGTCAGCTTGGCTTGAGCCAGGATATGAAGCTGGTGGAGAAGCCAACACTCATTCCAGCACTGGAGCAGCTGAATATCGTACAAGTAGCCGCTGGGCGGCATCATACGCTCTTCCTCACCGACACAGGCACCGTCTATGCCTGCGGAGAGAACAAGTCCGGGCAATGTGGTGTGGGCAATGCTCATCCAAATATATTTACACCGACTCCAATTAATTATCGTGGCCCACCTATTATACGCATCGGCTGCGGTGCCGAATTCTCAGTTATACTCGATATTAAGGGCAATTTGCATACGTTCGGTTTGCCGGAATACGGTCAGTTGGGCCACAATACGGATGCCAAGTATTTTGTGAATGCCAATAAGTTGTCATTCCATTTTGAGACATCACCGAAGAAGGTTGTGCTCTACATTGAGAAGAGCAAGGAGGGGCATGTGACACCTGTCGATGGTGTACAGATTGTCGACTTCGCGTGCGGCAACAATCATACGGTACGTGTAATGATATTCTATATATAAAATTATCTCTTAACACACACACTTTGCAGGTGGCAATTGACTCCAAGAAGCGAGTTTATAGCTGGGGTTTTGGGGGCTTTGGTCGCTTAGGTCATGCCGAGCCCAAGGACGAGATGGTACCGCGTCTCATGAAGTTCTTTGATTCTCAAGGACGTGGTGGACGCAGCGTCTACTGCGGCTCAACCTTCAGCTTGATTATCAACGAGCTGGGACTGCTTTATCTGTTTGGCCAAAATAAGAAGACTGGCGAAGCCAACATGTATCCCAAGCCAGTGCAAGATCTGGCAGGTATGTTTACATCTATGCATCCATATCTTTCACTTAACTGATTGTCATTGATTCTTCGTCTATGTGCAGGCTGGAACATAACAGCAATTGGCTGTGCCAATACCTCAATTATGATATCGGCGGATGATACTCTAATTGCCTGGGGCGCATCACCCACATTTGGCGAGCTGGGCATTGGTGAGTTCCAGAAGTCGTCGACGGTGCCAAAAGAGGTGCCCAAAATGGACGGCATTAAAATACCTCAGGTTACCATGGGCTACTCCCATACGGTTTTGCTTGTGGATACCACACATGAGGCCACCAAGCAGAAGTATGAGAAGATGCCCGAATATACTATCGAAGATTAAACACACACCAGCAACAAATATAAAAGGAATATAGAAATATAGAAATGATAAAAAAACTAAATGATAAAACATTAAGTATACCGCTGCCAACAACAATACTGCTATATTTATATAGATACTACAAAACAAAACTTGAACTGATCAACGAAACTCTGCTGCTACTTACTGAAGACAAAACAAAAACAAAAAAAAAAAAAACAAAAAAAAGGAGAAAAATTCAGAATTAACTCATTCACATTTCATACTATAAGTTTTAAAGTACTTTATCTATGCAAATAACTCTCTCACGAACTCCCACAACTTATATCTCAAATATCTTTTATGTATTTATGAAACAGCATTACGATTTGTGAATTAAGTACGTTTCTTTCGTAATTTATTTAACTATTCCCTTGCTATTTATGAAAAGTATTTTGTATGAATCGCTGTCTTTAATTTATTTCCGCCCATAATTAGGCTTAAAATTTGTTCAAAAAAACCTATATTCCAATAAAAACAAAAATACAATAAATGTATGTATACAAATATAATTTTTAAATACGAAATGCTGCTTAGTTCTATAAGATCCATTAATTTACTATTGTCCAATAATCACAGCATGAACAACCCGAAAAAAAAAAACAATACAAAAACAACTACAATGTATAATTAGGGGCATAAGTTACATATATAAATATATATACAACAAAAATTAAAAAAGAAGTATACAATGGATGAAACTCCAATACAAGTTGCAACTATTAAAAAACATCAAGCATTTTAATCATATACAAGAATATTTAAATAAAGAGAAAACATGTTAGTATTTAAATGGAATTTATTTATTTCAGGTGAGGTCGTCTTAAGCATTGTTCTAACGAAACTTTTGAATATTTATAAAAGAAATTACGATTGTCCAAAAACAGTTAAGAAATGTTTAGGAAATTTAAGCTGGTGTCGCCAGTGATTTTTTTATACCTTGAACCCATTGAAAATGGGAAATCAGGGTATAATGGTTTTTTGAAAAGTATGTAACAGGCAGAAGGAATCCTCGCATAAAGTAATATATATTCTTGATTATATTTCTTACTTGTTTATTTTTTAACTCTAGTTCTAAAAGTTTAAATCCAAGTAGTTCTTCCAAATATTTCCCCCAAACTGAACGATCATTAAATTTTTAAACCCATTTTACTGCACTGCACGACTGACCACCATGCCTGGGCGACTGAACAAATACTGCAGCTGCTGCCTTTTATATAGGGCGACTCTCACTCAAATACTCACCGCCAGGTAGGGGTCGTTGCAGTCGAGCTTTAAGTGACCAATCGGAACACTCTCTGCTGCTTCGTTTTACCCAAATATAAATGCCAAATGAATACCGATGCATACTTAAATGATCTTCTGTAGTTCTTCCCTTGCATACAGACAGAGAGACAGTCTGTGAGAGGGACAGACCGACGGATATACAGACGAACACCTATGCAGGCAAACAAATACTCATAGTTAAATTGAATTAACTCATTAGACATACCAAAACATTGATATATAGGTATAGGCAACAGTGTTGCCAGGTTTTGAGACATAAAAATAGCAAAATCGTCTCTAAAAAATAGCTGAAAATAGCTAAACAAATTTTAAAATAGCTTACAAAATAGCTGAAACCTTTATGCATTATGCATTTACTTTAAATTTTATTTTTAAATGTTATTTAATAATGTTACAATTTGGTCCACATCCAAATCATCATCAGAATTATATTTTTGATTAACTGGAATCATTTTTAAATATTTGGAAGGCACGGTATAATCATGGCAGCATTTGCCATTGCTGCGCAAGAAGAATTAGCGATGGTATAAATTCACAACTAGTGATGGTATAAGTACGACAAAGTCGTGGTGGTAGTATCGCGCAGATCATTACGTACAATTTGGGACTTAATCGAAAAATGTTTTTTTTTTTTTGCTTTAAATACTAAAATCAAATTCAAAATATTCGTTTGTAAAATAGCTAAATTTATAGCTAATAGCATTTTCAAAATTTTCATAGCATTTATGGTTCAAAAATAGCTAAAAATGCTATTAAATAGCTAATCTGGCAACACTGATAGGCAACAGTTTCTTCTGTTCTATAAATCTCTTAAGGACTCATTTTCAATGAATTTATTATCAATAGGTATTTAAGCCTGAAATGGTCTAAGTATTCAGCCTTATACATGCGTATGCAGGAACGCGTACTCATGTGTGTGTGTGTCTGCTTTTTCTTGGATAAGCAGAAAATAAGCGAAGAATTATTGAGACAACAGTCCTTCAAAGAGTTTAGGGGATATCGTAGTCGAACAGTCTCAACTAGAGCATTCTTTTTTGTTTTATTCATATTCATTTTTTGTTCTTTTTGGCTCCTTTCCAAATTTAAGTTCTTATCACAAGTCCCGCAAGGACCTTGCGGCTATCACAAATGAAAGCGAAAGTTAAGCATTCGAGAGACTGAAAAAGCTCTGCCATGGCCCAACAACAGTCAAAAGCTTTCGGCGTTACTCTCGACTTTTAACTCCGAACTCTGCTCTGACTCTCACTCTCTCTCTTTCGCTCGCTCGCTCTCAGGATTTAGCTGTCTTGGGCTGTATTTGCTTGGCTTCAACACAATTTTCACTGTTAGCCAGGACAGTCTTCCGCCGTAGTCCTTTCGTGTAATGTGCGCCATTGAGGAACGATTTCTGCACACCGCACATTGACTTTTATTTTAGTTTTTTTTTCCCCAACACACACACACACACACTTTCACACACGCACACACACACTCTGACACAGACACACACACACACACACAGACGCACGCATCCACATAAAAAAAACATTTTATTAAAATTAAGAAAACAAAAACAATTTTACTTACGAACAAATAAATGTAAAAAATATTTGCTAAAAGTGTATTTGATATATATAAAACAAAAATTTAAACAAAACTAAAATAACAACAACAACGACTAAGACGAGCCCGCTGCAACAAAGCAACTGAAAATAGTACTAACTGTAAATTACAGTGCCTTCAATAAAGTAAACAACAAACTATAGTCGCCAACACAACAAACTGCAAAAACAAAAAAATATATATATATTTTCACTTCACATTTTCATATGAAGCGCGAAATAACAAAACAGTAAGTTATTACGTATACTCAACGTGTGTACGTGTGTGTGCTTGTGTATAGGAGTGAGTGGGCGTGCGTGTGTGGGCGTGATTGTGTGTGCGTTGGCGTTGCCGTTGCCGCCTTTTGATACAACACTAATTGTTATTCAGCTGCTTTTGCTTTCGCCACGCGTTTTTATGGCTAGTAATTATGGCGTCGTTTTTTACATGGCCAATAGCATTTCTTTGTCTTGCTCTCCCGCCGTCTCTATCTCTTGTCTTTGCCTTTGCCCCTACCCACACACTTTTCATTGTTCGCCGCAAAACTTTGCTTAACTTGCCATTCCCGAAAAATGTGTGTATGTATGCGTGTATGTGTGTGGTGCTTTTAACTAAAAGACAACGGTAAACGCACACACACATATATACAAGTGCAGGCACACAGACAGTGTAACTTGTTTGTTTGGCATTTGTATTGTGGCAGGCACGCAAAAGACGCCTGGACACTCACACACACACATAACACACACAAAGAAATTGTAAGCTGTCAAATCAATAAGAACAGACAAAAGCAGCGGGCGAGCTAACGCCATCAAGTTGCGCATCTCAGTTTATATGTATGTGTGTGCGTTTGCGTGTGCTGTGTGTATCTGGCGGCTTTTTTGCGACTGTATGCGTAAGCGCCTTGTTATTAAATCACCTGTGGCTGACAGTTTTCATATTAGCGGGGTGCTGCAATAACAACAATCGAATCCATCTCTTTCCAACGTTTGCATGGGCCGGGATACGGCCATTTTCATCTCTCATTGGCTTCGCGTTTGTCCATTCTTTTGTGTTGAAGCAGGATGGAGGCTATGGCTTGCCATCGCTTTTTGTCACCTTTTGTGCCTGCTGCCGACATTTGAGTGACGTAAATTATTAAAGATTCACATTTCAAAATTCTCAATAAGCGAATCCCAAGAAATCGCCCACACTAACAGAGCTGCTAAAAATATACACACATTTTTGGAGAATAATAGAACATTTTCATTTAGGTAATTAGGGCTAAAAATTGGTTATATAATATATTTAAATATAAATATGAATATGTACAAATTTAAAGTATTAAATATTTTAATTATTTGTTTTTAATTATAATCGAATAAATGATATAAGTTGTAACAAAAACTTAGCCAACAGGTTATAGACACACACACATACATATATAATCAGGGTGAATGGATACCGACAACATGTGGGTATACACACACAAACACACACAGAGACACATGCTCGCAGGTCAGGATTAAATTAACGCAAATTAAGCAGATTAAGCAAACGTCAGTCACATCAAGCAGCAGCCGCGGCACAATGTGCAAAAGGCAAAAGCGTTGACGTTGACAACAACAACTCACACACCCATACACACAAACACACGTGTGTACAAATTGCGTTGAACAATGGCGGCGGCTAAAATTGGCAGCAACAACAAAATTGATACACAGCAAGCCATACAAACTGACGCAAGCATTCACAAACACACGCACACACATGCAAACAAAGCACGCTGTCTGGCAGAGCTTTTGTGCGCACACGGTCTTTCACACACACCCACACACATGTGTACGCTGACTTATAATCATGAAGCAACACAGTACATTAGGGTGACTCATGCTGAAAAGGTTTTTATAGCCCAACCAAATGTACTGCGTCTTTGCTATCAAATCTTGAGTCACCCTGTGTTTTTCATTGCCAGTTTAATGAGCTGGCTTGCTCTGGCGTTTGTCCGTTTGCTTTTTGGATAACAATTTCAATTAAAGTTTTTAATAGCCTGGCAGTGTATAGACTGCATTTATTGCTCCTGCACATGCAGCATCAACATTAAAAAATGGCGCCCTTTCTCCGCCGTGCACTGATTTAACGCGCAATTAAGCCGCCAGTTGTAGCTCGCCCACAATTTCCGCGCCACGAGTAGAGAGATGGCACCAATCCTTGCGGTTGTTTTGTCGTGGGCGCAAAGTGCAAGGTTGCCATTCATTTTGGCTTGCCAACAAAATGGGGCACGGCGGAAGGAAGCGCAGCACTAATCTCTGAGTGCACCCTGCTTCGCATTGCATAAGTGTCAGTGTCACAGGCAGATGCGGCGACTGAAGCAGCAGCAGCAACAGCAGCAGCGGTAGCGGCAGAGTCTCTTGTGTAAGTGTATGAGTGTGTGTGTTTGTGTGTGTTTGATTGTGCATGGGTATGCATGTGGCTGTCACTTTGTGTGTCCTTGTTGAAACAAAACAAGGGGGCATGCAATACTGAATAGTTGACTTTGAAATACCTCGTGCCCAACTGCAATCCATTAATTATTTAATAGACATTTAATCATAATTCATATTTGTCATTTTGATTCGCAGTTTCAGTGCTCAAAGAAATTCATAATTCCAAAATGATTGGCCTAATGAAAAATATTTATATAATTTTCCTGTTGGATTATTATCTTGCATTTAATTATATAACGTTTCTGTGTTGTTATTTTATGATACGAATTAGTTTCTATCACGCATACGCCATGTTTTCACGCCAAATAAAACACGCAAAGCCCGTACAATACTTATACCAATAAGGCGTAGCCTATTTATTGGGGCCGGACAAAATTGTTAGGCTTACAAATACTTGTTTAAGAAATAGAATATCAAAATATATTTCTAGCATTATCTGATATGCTTTTTTACATATTAT